TTGGGAGGAATTCATGTGACCGAAGCGCACATACAATCATGCCTGATACCGAATTGGGTGGGTATTCACTTGCTCCGAACTCAACTTTGTTTACAGGGTCACATAACAACATATGGTATGGATTTACAACTTCTTTAATATTTACAACACGACGTTTCTGGGCTACTTCTTGCCCCTTCACCAGGTGGATGAATAAGGCATTCCCTACAGGGTCACTGCTAACATTGGCACAATACGGACTTACTCACCCGAGGTGTCCTTGGAAGCAAATGCTTAACGGTATCTTCCCAATACAACAGTTATTCGGAAAGTGATATATCATGCACAAAACCACCTCTACACAAAAGTGAAATAGTTCGATGTCTAATAAATATCGTGGGGTCTTGATGGCTGCCGAGCATGATTTTGCCGTCAACTTGACACGCCGCTAAATATAGCAATATTCCAGCAATATTACGGCGGGGAACACCAGAAATGGTTTTCATTCATTATGCCCATGCGGGGAATGGAACCCAGGAGGTACCTCACGATGCGATAAGTATCCCCCCCCGCCCCTCGAATAACTCGTGGGTATTGAGGGTAGAAATATAAGACCCAAATAACTCTCGACTAAACGTATCTGGTGGTCAAGTTCGCTGGTCAGGACGATACGTATCTCGATACTGGGGTCACGCTACGATACGTATCTCGATACTGCGGTCACGCTACGATACGTATCTCGATACTGGGGTCACGCTACGATACGTATCTCGATACTGGGGTCACGCTACGATACGTATCTCGATACTGCGGTCACGATACGATACGTATCTCGATACTGGGGTCACGATACGATACGTATCTCGATACTGGGGTCACGCTACGATACGTATCTCGATACTGCGGTCACGATACGATGCGCATCTCGATACTGAGGTCACGATACGATACGTATCGCGATACTACATTTCCGACACTTTGCACGTAACAAGCAACCATTACCAGCTGGATGGCAAGCTCTTGCCATAGCTCACCAGCCACCAAATATTTTGGCAGAGATTACTAGTAAAGGGAAGATTGAGTTTCAGCCAAGTATCCGTCAACCACACTCACCAAGTCTAGTCATATCTGATGTTCTGCATAACAAAATTATAAGAGAAAAACATGTTCAGTTCACTTTTGATAATGTTTGTATTTAACGAATGTTTCATATGAAATATCGGTGCAACTTCAAAATAATAATGGACATATGTCAAAATAATTGATATTAAAACAAATGATTCCTGTAAAGCTTGCCGGTGATGCACTGGTGCATCGTGATATTACTAGATATGATGCACTTGACACACTGACTGAATATTCTCAAGTAACAACGAGGTGGATAGGTACTCAAATTAGATGAGACCCGTGAAGATCCGGGTTAGAATTGATCTTTAGTGACCCATGCTTGCTGTAAGACGCGACTAACGGGATCGGGTGGTCAGACTCGCTGACTTGGTTGACACATGTCATCGTATCCCAATTACGTAGGTCGATGCTCCTGCTGTTGATCACTGGGTTGTCTGGTCCAGACTCGATTATTAACAGGCCGTGGTCAAATAGCTGGAATATTGCGGAGTGCGGCGAAAACAACAAACCAAAGACTCGCCGTGACGTAACCCAAAATCTGGTCGTTATACACAACACACACACCGTTGATCACAATATATCACTAAGGACGCTTCATGCGCTAACAGTATATTTGAAAAAATATTAGGTTTTCTAGTATGTGCACACATGACCCTTGTAAAAATATAAAAAATCAAAATTTTAATTTCAAATTTTCAAATGTATCACATAATTACTAATCGCAACTAAAATGTGATTTGTTCGTGACAGTTCGCACGTCCTCTGTCACACCTATACCATCCACACTAACTACCAAGCAATCTCAATGAGTAATTTCATCATAAGCAGTCGTTTTCTCACTTCTGTTATCCAACAGGTCAAATCCGTGCATGGGCAACTCAATACACCTCTTGAGACCTCCTCAAGGAGGGTGTTGAAGTTTAGAATCATCGGGCATTACAACGGATTCTTTACCGTTGATCAGGTAGCCGGCATAGAGGTATTAACTGCTCATCAACAGAAGGTAGATGAGTCTATCGCCATGTTGCCTGTACTAGAAGCAGCCCTTGTAAGATCTTTACACCAGGATATACCGAGGCATCATAGCACGAGCTCGTTTCGCTCAATGACGTTTACGTCTAGGCGAGATTAGGAGGACGTTGCTGTACTTTTTATATTGCAAAACAATTTGATCGTATATTGCTTATCAGTTCTCAGTAATGGTGTTTGTGCAGTGTGTTGAAAGGGGTGTGAAGTGTGCGAGATCTGTTTATTAGCTCTGTTAAAAAACGTTTGTCTGGAAAGGTGACATTTAAGCCTGAACTTGCAACGAATGTCGTTTTTTATGTTGGTTTGGAAGTTATGAAATGCATGCTGTAAGTTTCAAGATTCGAATTACGAATGATTTATACATTTGATATATATATATATATATATATATATATATATACATGTATATCAACATTGGCTGGTCATTTTTATATATTCGTGTTTGTTTTACCGAAGCCGGGCCACCGGGACAATTTGTGGATGCATATTTATTAAGAGTTTGTGGACTTTGAACACGTTTACACTCATGTTTTACACGAATCGCTCAAGATTATCGCCCCTTAGCTGTGCAGGATTCATGAGTCATGGTGCGGGTTATTCCCAGATTTGCTTGTGAGACATTAAACATTAGTCACTCACTCTCTCCGATCGAATCACCCATCATGACCCCAGCTGTGTCAGAATGACTTTCACTTAAATGATACGCACAGATGTTATTCATATAACTCTTCGTTGGTTACTTCCACAGTCCACACACAAATGATATACCTTACACTTACTGTGACAACACCTTAATATTATGAAGACATGTCATTGCTGACAACCACCTTGTCACACTTGTCCGCCATGTGGGTGTCATGTGTCCATTAGTCTGTGAACTTGAATGCTACTCTTGACCCCCAAAAAAAAAAAATAAAATAAAAAAAAAATTAAATGAGGATCACGTCAGCTGTCTCAACACTCACTCAAGCGTCGTAAAATGATTTGCAAATAGGATGACGGCTGCAGAAGGGGACATTAATGTGAGGGGACATTAATGTGATACATCCAAAGAAAATACGTTTTTGACAACGTACAGCAATAACATCAGAGGTTAAATTACTAGTACAATCATTTCAAAGGCATGGTGTTCTTGTCTAGTCTAGTCTAGGTGCTATAATGAAATGTGAGATCAGATCCAATAACCTGCCATTAATTTCACATGAAGAGCTTCCATGTGACCAGCCGTATATAGATACTTCTTCATTTAACAGCGGCTGTATGATGGTGGTCTGTTTAAATGAGGGGGGAACACCCTATGACCCTTCTCTATTAATTGTTCTTCTTGTCTTCATGCACGAATAATGATCCTGAACACTAAGGATAGAATCATGAAGCGTTCGAACATTGCAGCACTTCATATTTGTGTATACGGTATCGCGAAAGGATTAGTGGAAAATCTTTTTAGGGAAAATACGACCGTAGTCTTGTACTGTAGAAAACAAACATACTCAACTTGACAAGTGTTGACTGAAACACGCTGTGAATTTATATTTTTTCCTACGCAGATCGTATCGTCATGTTTACACAAATGCCTATAAACAGTAACATTATTGTATGGTAAATATGTAAACTGAGGGTCGAAAGAAAGTATGCTGATTACTTTTCTATGTTATTGAAAATAGAAAGGACATATGTTAAATGTGATCATGTCTGTTTTACTATCACTCATTTCTGCAACAGATTTAAAAGAGCAATCTGCAGCAATGCCTGGGTAATTCAGTGTAAAAGTAAGTAATTCTGATTCAGAAAGATTGGGGTGAGAAATCGGCTTGTGCCAAATGTTCTTTTTACAATGTATGGTTTTACGCCGCTTTTAGCAATGTTCTAGCAATATCACGGCGGGGGACACCAGAAATGGGCTTCACACATTGTACCTGTCTTCAGCGAAGGGAGAACTGTTAACCGCCCGAAAACCTATTATAACATTAAGTGAGACGTTTAGTTCCTTTTGCCACTCTGTAAATATTTATATCCCTTCATACATTGCTTTGTCAGTGAATTTAATAGACGTTTGTCGGTGACACAACTGTCCTGTCCGTTGCAAAGAACGAGTTAAATTTTAGAATATCTGTCAAACGAATCCAACTGCTAGCTATTGTCATCGAGCATGCAAACCTTACACAGCAGTAGGAATGATGGCATCATGGCATCCTTGTTACATACAGAATCTGCCTTGGATGAAACTGTGATATTATGAGACAGACACATCCCTGTTATCGTGGCATCACAGTCTTTCTACCACCATGTAGTTTCCGGGTTCGAACTGGTCCCTAGTAACCCTTTCTTGTCTTGGCGAATACATTGATCCTGTTGGCGGCTGTGCCTTTGTTGCTTTTGTCTTAATCTGACGACAAAGTATGCTCATAATATCAGTCACTGGTTGGTTTGGAGTATTTCCAGAATACCATATTATAGCTGGGATATTGCTGGGGACAAATAATCTAAGAGAAATAAGCCTTCCTAATATAGCCCATTCGTCTAGCTGACATGCTGGGATATATCACCATCATCGTGATTATGTCTTACAAAAATATTCCATCCGTACATGTAGAAAATACCCGTGAAGATCCGGGTTAGAATTGATCTTCAATAACCCATGCTTGCTGTAAGAGGCGACTAACGGGATCGGGTGGTCAGGCTCCCTGACTTGGTTGACACATGTCATCGTATCCCAATTGCGTAGATCGATGCTCATGTTGTTGATCACTGGATTGTCTGGTCCAGACTCGATTATTTACAGACCGCCGACATATAACTGGAATATTGCGGAGTGCGGCGTTGACAAACAACAGTAGAAAAACAACAACAATTAAACGTTGATATGCAGCATATAACAGTTAGAATTTATTTCACAGTATATCACAATGATTATGTGCAGATATTCCTGAACAATACGACTACAATGTATTATCTAATATACGTCACAAAAGGGTACCCTGAGGGATGGGTATTTAGCTTAATGCATAAACGTAGGTTTATATTCATTATGAAACACTGCTCAAGTGACATGTCGGTCACCTGCTGTCGCCTTGGAATCCAAAGTTAATACAGTTAATGTCTGACGATTCCTTAATAACAATGCCACGAATTGGCTGAGTCGAAGATATAGATGTTATCAACATGGCATGATGTAAGTGGAATAAGTAACAGAATAGTTAGCGGCGAAATCGTAGTAACCTGCTGCACCACAGTAACTGTCCGACTGGTTCCGAATACATTAACTACAAATCCGTTTACAGTGACATTCTGCCGCTTCTTTTGCCTAAGGTTATGAACCTTGAAACAGGAAGGTGTCCAGCTTTCTCACTGTATCTGCGTTTATGTTTGAAAAGGTTGACTCAAAGACCACGAGAAGAAGTAAAGTGGACAGAAATTTGTATGTGAATAAATCGGGTCTAAATAAGAAATCGTTCTTCCGATGCAAGACTTAATCGTATTGGGGTGTTGTTTTGTTGTTTTCACTGTACGGGAACAACGGAAAACGACGCTTGTCTGACAGTCTGCTGTGAGATATTACAGTAATAGGAAATGGTTGCAATAGGCATGTTCGATGATGAAACAATTCTACTGATGTCTTGGTAGGGAGTGGGTTTGTAAGTTTTCCGTCGATCACCAAACAATGACATGGAGTAGGTTTGTAAATTTTCCGTGGATCAAGCAAACACTGGAAGATCTTGGTAGGGAGTGGGTTTGTAAGTTTACCGTCGATCACCAAACAATGACAGGGAGTAGGTTTGTAAATTTTCCGTGGATCATCACACAATGGAAGATCTTGGTAGGGAGTGGGTTTGTAAATTTACCGTGGATCAAGCAAACACTGGAAGATCTTGGTAGGGAGTGGGTTTGTAAGTTTACCGTCGATCACCAAACAATGACAGGGAGTAGGTTTGTAAATTTTCCGTGGATCATCACACAATGGAAGATCTTGGTAGGGAGTGGGTTTGTAAATTTACCGTGTATCAAGCAAACAATGGAAGATCTTGGTAGGGAGTGGGTTTGTAAGTTTACCGTCGATCACCAAACAATGACAGGGAGTAGGTTTGTAAATTTTCCGTGGATCATCACACAATGGAAGATCTTGGTAGGGAGTGGGTTTGTAAATTTACCGTGTATCAAGCAAACAATGGAAGATCTTGGTAGGGAGTTGGTTTGAAAGTTTACTGTGGCTCATCAAACACTGGAAGATCTTGGTAGGGAGTGGGTTTGTAAGTTTACCGTCGATCACCAAACAATGACAGGGAGTAGGTTTGTAAATTTTCCGTGGATCATCACACAATGGAAGATCTTGGTAGGGAGTGGGTTTGTAAATTTACCGTGTATCAAGCAAACAATGGAAGATCTTGGTAGATGTGGGTTTAAAAGTTTATCGTGGATTATCAAACAATGGACGATCCTGGCAGTGAGCAGGTTTGTTAATTTCACATTGCATCAGACAAATAGCGGAAGATCTTGGTGGAATGCAGTTTTGGGTATTCAGGCTATAATAAGCCAACACTGGAAGATCCTGGTGGGAAGCAGTATTTTGACATTCATTGTACATCTGGCAAACAGTGTGGACATGGGGATACGGTTATGACAACACTCGTCCATCGGGCAAACAGTGGAAGCTCTTGATCGGTGTGCAGATTTGACCATCACCGGACATTGGGCTAACGGAATAAGATCTTGGTTTGGAGTAGATTTCTGGCATTCAATGTACATCAGGCAAACAGAACTTGATGCTGAATGGAGAGAGATATAGCAATCCCCGTGCATCGGAAACGAGTGGAATATCTTGGTGGAACAAGATATGGCATTCACCGTGAAATAGGCATCTTTAATACCTAAGATACGTATATTCCGCATTGTATCATGACAACGTTGTTTGTAAGCATCTTTAAATGTCACTGAACATATTGACATCATATTATACGTTGTCATAAAATCCAAGGGAAGCAGCATGTTGCCTTGCCCTGAACCTCAAACTTTCTATACTTGATGTAAGAAGAGCGTCTTTTGTTTGATTGGGAGAACTGTTAAGTGGTGGTGGTGCATGTGCTGGAGGAGGCAGCCTTGGTGGTTCTGGTCTGGAGGTTGGTGGAGCTGGAATTTCCGGTAAACCGGAAGAAGGGTAGTACGAAGGCCATCCGTTGAGGGGGTTGATTCCTCCTGAGGCGAACGGGAAGAGGGGCACTTGGGGAACACCCGATTGCTGCATCTGTAGTTGTTTCTGGAACATGGCGCTTGCGAAAGCGTGTTGTTGAAAGTTGAACAGGCCTAACTGAGGAATGGGGTACTGATATGGCATTGGCGCTCGATGGTAACTGGTCTCCGCACCTGCGAACATACAAGTGGTATATGTACTTTCAAGTAAAAAATTACAGATCAAGAATAAATCATACTTAACAGAATAAAATGAACAACCACAACGTTAAATTTACTCCAGCTTTGAAATATAAAAAGTGTTCGCTGGGCATGCTCTATGTTCAGAAATTTGTTGAAAAAGTGTTAAAGCATACAAGGTGGAGACACATTATTTGATTAAGGTCTATTATCAATTAAACGTTCGCGACATTTATACATTTATTACTGTTGTTTGAGATACGTTTACTATGAGTTCCCGAGCACATTGTCCATATAAAATGAGTGAGTGAGTGACTTCGGTTTTACGCCGCTTTTAGCAATATTCCAGTAATATCACGGCGGAGGAACACCAGAAATGGGCTTCACGCATTGTACCCATGTAGGGAATCGAACCCGGGCCTTCGGCGTGACGAGCGAACGCTTTAACCACTAGGCTACCCCAACGTCCCCATATAACATGAGAGTATGTTTCTTTATCATATGTAAATAAATACATTCTTAATTAAAATTATTTGTTGGAATATATCAATGTAATTTTAAGTTTTCATTTTCCCATGAACGTTAAAACAATTGGCGTTCCTGAGTATTATCAATAAGTTCTTGAGTGTGTATTTCAGTTTATGATAAACAGGTGTGTCTGCTAATGCACTAGGATGGTAATGCCAGCATGTTGAGTATGATTTAAATTTAGAATGTGAAATAAGATGCAGTGTCATTATTACCTCTGATAATGAACCTTAACCCGTCAAACACTGCGCCGAGAAGTTTATATCACAAGGTTACAGCATTAGCGAAATAATATTTGCGGTCCATGACGTTTTACCAATTAGAGAGACCTTTAAATTAAGCTGTCCTTGAAATCGCCGTCCACTGTAATCTTATTACGTATTTACGTAAACATAAAACCCTAAAGAAGTATTGTTGGGCATTCTTCTCACATTATCGTGTTTAATCCTACTAGAACTACTTATATATACGTAACAGGGCGGGAAGGTCAGTCCCATGTTGAGATCATGCAGTGCCTTTGAATGCATTTTTATATTTTCATACTTTTTTGCACAGCCCTAGGTGGTCTCACAATCTTATTTCACAACAACATATCGTCATGAAGTTGTATATCCCATAGGCAGTTCCACTTACTTTACAGTACAGTTAGACCTTGCCCACATGTCATAGATAAAATAGTTGTTCTTATGTGTTTCGGTGCATCTTTGTTTCAAAGGATGATGTAATATTGTGACAACGATGTTGATCCGGAATGTACATAATTTAAAGCCGTTGTTTCCCATCAGTTCAAATTTATTTTCAGCATCCAATACATCTTGTATAGTACGAATTTTTACTTTCATGACAGACAATTTGACTGTTATCAATTTAATATAATACTTTGTCACACCAAGTGATATATCACTGTAGTAGTGATGTTTCCTTTGTATATTTGACGTTAGTAGATCTGAAATTTGCACAGCATGGCACAATTAGGTTTCGTCACTAGACTTGAAACACAAGTATAAAAGAAAGATGCACTATTTGTTTGTTTTTCTTTCAATGATTTTTGAAAGCAAACAAGAAATGCTTAAGACACATCCCAATGTTATTCCTGCAGGTCTGAAACATTTTGGTGACTATGATGAACTTACCTTTTTGCTGACCATGGAAGGTAATCACGTCAACTTCGTTACATCTCGTGGGTTCCTGAGAGAGTGGCGTAGTGGATTTCTCCGTCTCGTCTACTTTCTTGTCCAGAACCGCCGGGTAGTCACTGTCATCACTGTGGGCATGCTTCTTCTCTGAAATGTCATGAAACGTTGTTGCTGAGAGAGACACAAGAAATGGCATTTAACAAAAGTCATTTTGGTTTGGCAACCACCTGAACACATAAATGTTTCTACATTGCTTCGAAAAGCCTGCGTTTTACTATAAACGGGTGGCCTAATAATTAGGTCCTTTTTGTCTAGATGACTTAATGAATTTCGACAAAGAATCACAAAACTTAATCAAAACGTTATTAATGCTGAAGCAATAACCTGAGCACTGTACACGTAAGGTCTAAACCAGGATTGTGATACTAGCATGAAACAATTACCCTCGAACAAACCTATCTTGATCATGTCATTCCAAGGAACTATCAAACATGGGTGTACACTTTCTTTTACCCAGCAGTTTATGTTTGTTATGACACATTTGGCAGAATTTCTGTACTGGCATATCTGTAGGACTGTTCCAAACAGCAAGAATACACTACATCACTTTGTCTTACCGTTTAGCTTCGGTTCTTCGCTATGTATGCTGTCCACAGTGGTATCATTGTCCGTCACAGATTCACACTCTCCATTCCCCTCCATGGATTCCACATCTACAGACACAGACCCCTCCTCCATCACGTCATTTCCGTCTGAATCCTCGTCCTCTTCATTTGCCGATTTTGCCTCCTTGTCGGACCCCTCCTCTCTCCCAACATCTTCTCCAGGTTCCTCTTTCGACTCCGAAGCTGATGCAGAGCTTGTGTTTCCTTGTGACGACTCCTTCCCTTTACCTTTAACAGCCCGTTGTTTTTTCCTATATTTGGCTCGCCTGTTTTTGAACCAAACCTGAAAATACACGATACACGCATTGATAAAACAAAACCCTAATGAAGTAATCAATTGTTTAAACCAAGTGTTTGTCTTGTCTTGCAAAGCATGCAGGGCAGGTAGAATGAGTTAATAATCACACAAATACATCCACTGGTTAAAACGCGTCGCCGTGTTAGTCTCCTAACACATAATGTTTGAATTATGCTCGATATTGTTGACATCTTATTGATCGTGGAAACACGGGCAGCGTAAGAAGTTACTTGATCGCTGCATTATAAACAAATGATCTTGTTGACACAGAGCAACTACAGCGCGATGGCGTTCCTGTCATTCTTGCTGCACCCCATTCGCATTTTTGTGAATTATAACTTTGTTCCAGTATTTGACTTTCATTTTATAATGGATACTTAGCATCGGAAGTAAGAAACATTTGAACTTAATTTGTTCTAGATTTTAATATTTTGCTTCATTACTGCTTTTCGAACTGTGATTGCTAAGTTCGTTGACATTGTTCTTTATATTGAACGAAACTTGCACTTTTGAAGGCTCGTATTTGCTTGGCCTGTATTATTCAACAAGAAATGCCGTATATACTAATTAGTTTTATCTCTGTTCATCTACTTTTTATACTGTGTAGATAATTTGAAATTATTTTGTAATTTTTTTTAAAAGTGATTGTTTACTTCTGTATGTTTTTCTGTTGGACTTTGTTTGTATGATTTTTTTTAAGCATTTAAGTATTATATCATTATTCCAGTCTCTAATATTTCGAACGTAAACGAATTTAATGTAAACCTTTGATGGACATTCGTGCTTTTATCACCATTACAACAAACTTTATGAAACATAAGTCAGTATTAGCAACTGGGGCGTATAAAGCATAAACAAACATGTCAGCTGCATATGCGACAAACAAAACCAAACTGTTTTAGTATTTCAATGTTTGATGCGTAGAAATCACAATGTATGTAGACTGCAATAGTAGATCTAATAAACGTCAGTTTAATTTAGAAGAAACTTTTTCATTTTTCAAATAATTTCTACCATTAATCAAGTAAACTTCAAACTTGCATATATGTCTGGATAACTGTCAGTTAAATCTCTCCAAGAATGATACAACAGGCCCACAGTGTTCGCTGTCATGCATTTAAATTAACCATAGGAAACATACATGAAACAATATAAGATAATTAAAGTCAAAATGGCGTTCAAAGGTTTTATAGCAGGCATGGTTGATCTGCGTGTCAAGGTAAATGTTCTGTAACACTTTGTTATATTCCTTCCAGATCCATCCCCGTTCAGCAAGACCTGTTTTAGCATTTGCAATACTGAATCATGATGAATTATTGTTCACATCCATTCGTTTTACAATACATTGCGCACATACCTGTATTCTAGCTTCAGGTAAATTGGTCATCATTGCCAAACGTTCTCTCATGACAACGTCTGGATAGTGGGTTTTGGCAAATGTCTTCTCCAGTGCTGCTAGCTGCTGGTTTGTGAAGGCAGTCCGGCTTCTCCTTTGTTTCCTGTGGGCGCCATACCTGGCTTCTAGAATGATATCTGAAATCAAAGAATTGAAATGTAACAATCGATTTATTAATGTCAGTACCCTAAATGCATTCATCCATGTTTAGAAAAAGAAATACTTTTCTTTTAGAAATCAGCATTCGACATGTCTGTTATTTGTAATAGAATAATATGGCACGGTAGTTATGAAATAGTAACATGTATTATTCTGATGGAGTCTTTTGATATACGAGTATTGCGATTATTCGCAGAGGATGTGGATTATGTCCAAATGATGACGTCACAAGTAGAACATTTCAACAACGGGAAGTAGCAAAGTTGCAAGGCAACATCTGAGCTCACATTTCTTACTACAAATAGCTTTATTTGTTCTGTATTTAAATAACTTATGTTTGTTCGCGTTAGTACACACATCAGTCAAGGAAGTATTTTAATTAGTATATAGTTATGTTCCAATGAATTACACAATGTATGTATAACGCATACCCTAGAGAATGCGTTCGCATGTCTGAAAGCATCTGAATAAGCACTTTGCACGCAATAGTTTTTTCATCCATATACTGAAACCATGTTTTAACAAAGAAAGCTAAAGTGAAGCCATCACGAAATATGAAAGAAACAATGAAAGATAGACAGACAGATTGACAGAGTGAAAGACCGTCGATTGACAGAAAGATCGACACCGTAGCTGACTGAGAGAGGCAGATCGAGAGATGGGGAGCCAGCAGACCAGCTTGACTTACCCGCCAACCTCTCTGCTAAACTTAATGTCTGCACTGATGACTGAAGGTTGGGATGCATACCCGGAAACTGGCCTCCGATATACAGTGGCTGCGGAAGTCCTGTCTGCGCATGAGTTGGTAGACCAAACATCGGTGGCGGGTGTTGCAGCTGCATGCCAAACCCTCCGTATCCTTGCATGCTTCTGAAACGTGTAGACAAAACTAATAACTTGCACGGAACATGGAAGCTTCTTGCGACATCTTCATTTTACATATAGGACCTAATAACAGATAACTAACACCAGGCTGCAAAGTTGACGAATACTGGCCAAATAACGAGTATTGGCCAAATAACTGTTCGTATATTGTCTAACATGTCTTTACGATTATGTTATGCACTGTATAATCTTCAGTAATAGATTCACAAAAAATAACAAACCATGTAAAAATAAATGACATGTAGGAACAAGACGAAACGCAATTATGTGGGTTTGATTGTGCATTTGTCATCTCTGTTGTGTCAAAACTGCTCTCAGCATAAAATGCTGTCTGTCGTTGAATAAGCACACTAAAACTATCACGTTTAATGTGCGTTTTTTTTCCATCTTTACACATATTGCACGTGTGCTAATGTATGTGAAGATGTAGAGACACATGGATCCACTGAAAGAGGCACTCCGAACTTGAGACAATGTCTATTATAATTACTATGATGAATCACACAAGAAATGATCGCACGTCGGCCTTAGATTCAATATATCCCTGTAATATTTAAGTTTCATATGCAATATATGACAATGACTAATGTTATAAATACACACAAGCATAAAACAAGCTAAATGCACTGTCCTACCTATTGTCTAATCCAACAACCGACATGAACAAAGTCACAAGCTCAACAGTATCCTGAGGTTGTTTCTGAGACAAAGTCGTTGAGACAGTTGACCACAGACAAACAAGAAAGAGACGGGTTGAGTAGAGAGCCCTGGCGCGGCCCAGCGTGTCCAGCAAGCTTCATGAGACAACTGACGGTGGACGGCAGAGACTAGAACCTTCACTACGCTACGTTCATCACAGCCCAATTGACTTTGATAGCAACAAGACAGTGTCACTTACTGGCTAGGCATGCTCCGGTCTACTCGCGACAGATTCGGGCACAGATTTGCGAGGGCTTAGAATGTTTGCAACATGCCACTACAGGCCGACTGGGAGATAATAATAATCAAAGCTATTGTCCTGTACACGCGCAACTCTAGCTTAACAGGAGTGAACATGGGCAGAAAACTCAAGTCTTTGATTAGGAAACTTTGGCGAGCGTGTCTGGTGCAGAAGCTTCGGAAGGCCAATCGGGGATTGAAATGGGAGAGCTAAAACAATGATGCGATTAGTGTTGCCCGTAGGCTTCAACTCAATGAGATTGACATTGAATGATGACGCTTTAGTCAGAGATTTTAGCTAGTTAAACACTCGTGTCTTACCTAAATCAAACGGTCAACAATTTACTGAGAATGTTTGTCTTGTTGGGATCACGTAGGAAATGTTACGCACGATGGTGTAATGGAACACGAGTAAATATCTCATCCGATCAGTGCACAATGAAAACTGCTTAATGATGTAAGAACTCAGCATAGTTGTCACACAATTTTGGAGTTTGCTCACAGGTAGTGAAGCAGTGGGCTTTCAGCATTATGCGATTTACACACTTTTTGTCATTTAAAGGTTCAGATCCAGATCCGATTAGTGTGTATAGAGGACAAGGAGAATAATAATATGCACCAAAATATTTTTGGTAAGTATATACTTTTTGTCGGGCGCATGTAATGCCCTCAAGACAAAACATTGACATTTACTCTTACAAAATTACAACGGAAATAATACAAAGCCCATTGGCTGAAACAACCCAGCGAAAGCTTCTTACTTCATGGCCGCTGAGTTATAACCAGGGACATATGAATATGACATGTATAGCAAATAAATCAAAACATACATAATACTTTCTTCTGTTTCCATCGTGGTCATTCACGAATGCTCCTTTGTATAGGTATGCAACAGTGTATATGTTCTTAAATGAAGGCGTCTAGTGAGACAAATGTATTACTTATGTTACATCTGTACATGAACGACATGCAATCGCCTATCAAATCGGGCTGTCAAGCGCCTAATGCGTCTTTTATCACGACTTTCCAGGTTAGTTGTGATAGGGTGTACACATGAACATTGTGTTAGTACCAGATGAACTCCAGTCAAGTGGGGAAAATCTAATACTATTATGATCAAATCAAACAGAAAACATTGCCCGAGCTGAGCTGAATATCGATTCCAACCGTGTTGAATCTCTTAGATTAGATAAAGTAAATAAGGAACTGTTTTGCAAGCATTGTGGTCAAAACAGAGAAGGACTCGGCAAATACCCCTGCCGAAACCCTTTTAGACGAACACCGAATCTACAGTGACATTTGAAAGGGTGTAGATTTAATACGTCTAATTGGGCTAGGCCAAACTGGAGTTGATTTTCACTATCAAAGCAAGAGTTTTTTCAACAGCTTTAGAACTTGTATGCGGGACATCTCTTATTACTAACCCCTTAAAAGCGTCATGTGTAGCGGACGAACGTGAGAGAACAGAATAGCGTTTAACAAGACTTAGGAAGCATTTCAGTGGTGTAATCTATTTGGCAAAGGTGTTAATATCAGCCTTACACTCGTACAAGCGACACGACTAATGCTACCCGAGTAATACCTCAACTGGGTTTCTCTTGTCCGATTCACGGCGCGTTTTGACAAATTTTCTTACGTGCCTCTGTTCAGTACTGATTGATTACATTTGGTCGTCTAATGTTTCGCTTTTGTTAACCGCGGCTTGTGGGTCTTGGGTTGTGGACCAACACCTCTTAAGACGTGGTGCTAGCGGGTACAGGGCCACACCCACCTCTACATTATGGCGGAGACGAGCCCCGACCGCTATCAGGTATCGTCTCGTGCATGTATTCTGAAAGCAACAAATCTTAAGTCGGTTCGTGGGAACGAAAACCAATATAATGAGACTAGGTACATCTTCTCTCTAAGTCGTTGCACCTATCAGCGGATGAGACCAGAGTCGGTATTGGACGATTAAGAGTTAGGATTTTTGTCCGGTCCTCGATGAACAACTCCTGTCTTGTAGTATCACATGGCAAACTCCACTTTGATGGTATCTTGGGTTTCATCAAATCATTATATGCTTATTGTTGTGACATTATCAAAAGAAAAGTTGTAAATTGAGAAGCTGCTCTCTCTATTATTGGACGGGTAGGTTCTTGGGTGGCGAACAGGGATTTACAGAGGTCTTCTAAAACCTAGCGGATTATGGACGTGGAGATGAAGCAGGGCTTCACAAACCATCTTACAAGATTCCTAAACCATTTGCCCTGAGAGACCTCTTAGACAAAAAATAATAATTGAGTTTTTGCACTTGCCGCCCTTGGACAGCCTTCGTCTTTCAATTCGTACAATACAAGTCACAAACTGAATTAAAATATTCGTTAGTTATTATATGGTATTTAAAAATATGAACTCCAAGTACACGTTTGACAATTACCTGTGACAAAAAATTATAATGGAACACATGACAGCACAAAAGAGGGATTTCTGTATTACATTGAATACATCAATAAGATAAGATAATGTTGGTATCTTGTGTCTCGTCTGAACATCCCAGCTTATCTGTGTGTGATGTTATATTAAACAATGCTTATCTTCACAAAAAATTGAAAGACACGTTTCTAAATATAGGAATATTAAACCTTTTCCTCTCATTTACTAACAAAAATCATTCTATGAAAGAACTTAGTTAAGACACGATTGATCAGACTGAAATTGGAATATATAAAACGAAATTACATTACAGTTAATCAGATCATGTTTCACATGCCTCGACCAACAATATCGTTTCAGATTTGTATCACAGTACATCATGCCCATTGGTTCATTAACGGCAATATGGTGTGTCAAATGTTTCCTACTTGCAAGGTGATATGACGTCTCCCATTAGGAGCTCTGTATTCTAGGGTTAATGGTGTATTTCTGTTGTGATATGATTAATAATGTTTAGATGTTTCAGTTATGACAATAGTTACACTATGATATTAATTTCACTGTGTTGTTGACCTAACGCCATGTTGTCGTGAGCCATATAAAATGTCCTTTACAGTTCTGAAACAACCTGCACTCGTTACCTCCAGTTAATTCTATCGTGCCAACGCGAGATGAGCAGCTTTGCGCGCATTTGGATATTCGATATGGAAGGAAAATGTTATTAAAAGTTTTGCACTTGCCAGAGCATTGTATATATGTTTGTGTTGGCGGGTGTCATCTGGCGCCATACTTCCCGGGCTTAGACCTGACCACAGCTCATTGGATAATTGTGTGCTCGTAATGTTTAATCTCACGACCAGACACCCCGCGCTAAACGACCAGCAAATGAAAAGCATTCATCGATCAGACAGTAAACTTGTAAAATAGGCGATTCGTGGTTACTTTTAGACACAGTGTCTCTAGCAACAAACAAGGGTCACACACACCTGTCCACCATTGGGGCCGGGTTAAGGTAGCACCCTTGCAATACACCAAAACAAGGCTCGGGTTTCAATGGAATATTTGACTTTTTCCAAACAGGCGTGCACGACCATGTTTTCACAAATTCCTGATAATACTGTCATATACAAGTCGCGAAAAGGGGGTGTTGGACCCGTAACACGTTTTTCAATAGGTTAGCACTAATTAAATCGAGTGACTCACATGTTCCTCCTCTTTCTGGCCGCCCTAACTGCTCACAATAGGAATAGGAAGACCCATGTTCTAATTGGAACATATCGTTTCCAAGTGAAATCAGATTCAGCTTGTAAAGCTCTGTAGAGGACACGGGACACACAACATATCCTATAATACGAATGTCATTACACACCTGCCAACGCGTGATTTTAACTATGATAGTTGTCGAAAAGAAAGCCACCCACAGTTACCATAGTTCTACAATCTTGGTGAAATTTTGAACATTTCAAGGACGTTTCGTTCCATTGTCTCATTTTTTCAAATAATTCCTCTGTCAAATTGAGAGCTTTAATAATATAAATCAAAGACATTTCGTTCCATTGACTTAACTTTCAAATCATTCCTAGATCGAATTGAGAGTTTTAATAATATAATGTACACGCATGCA